GACTGGATCTAGTTATACTCGAGATTTGGACTGCGAGAATGTTTCGGCGATCGTTCTCTCACCCACTCGTGACACACTACTCCCACACATCATCGGCGACGACAGGGCAAAATGATGAATGACACATAGTTCGGACGTTTTTAACGATTTCGATTCTCTTTTACAGCGATTTGTTCAGGACAGACAGAGGCCAATGCTGTGTTGGATGTCTGGTCCGCCTCGGGCCAAGGACACACGCGCAACGTCCGCTCTCTTTTACCCGTTTGTGCAAATCGTCCCCCTTCCCAGGTTGCCATTTTCCCATACATCCCACCCCCGCCCTCTATTTTTCTCTACTTCTCTTATTCGCGAAATCTCCCATCCCCATCTTTCTTTAATCCTCGCTGAATTAATCTGCATAGTGCAATTAGCGTCCTTTCACTCGGAACACACGCGATGCGTTCTTTCGCTTTGAAATTTATGCGTAACGAACAAGCGGTAGAATTAGTAAAAGGGTCGATTGTGTTAAATCTTCAAATATTAGCGTTTTAAAGCCGTGACGCCTTTTCCCCGTCACGGTTTTAAAAATGAGCGCGATTATATAATCATTTATCTTGCTAATGTAAATCACAAGAGAGAAATATTATATCGGAGTTATGCGATATTTTTCGCTTTTAACAGCGTTTAATCTTACTTGGATATATATACAGACAGCTCATTTGATATAACGGTAAATGTCTATATACGTATGTATATTCAGGCCAAGGACAAGTCCGCCCAGATCGTGTCTTTTTCATCTCTCATTCTCTCTCTATTTGGTTAATCTCCGCTCGATTCATGCTGGAATACTGGATAAAGAAATATTTCGCAAGTCGCGAGATTGAAAGAAGAAAATCGGCAAAATTAAGGATAGCGAGTCCGTTTATAGATCCGTTTATTATGCACCGTGAGACTTGAATTTTCTCGATTTATATCTCCTACGCCTCTTAGGCAGACGATGCGGAAATTGCACTTTTGTTCGGTGATTGCTCATTCACAGAGAGGAGTTTTCACGACAGAACAACGATCATCCATACAGCAGATCATCTTGTACTGCAATAAAACGCTCGTATATTAAGCAATTAAATAAAAAAAATACTATTCTAGGTAAAAACACTATTCTAAGTAAAAACACTATTCAAAATTTAAATACACTTCTATCTATTAAAAATAAAAAAATCATAAAACAAGCTTAATTTAATCATTTCTCAAAAATTTGTTAACATTAAAAACATCTCTTCAAATTTTGACAATGATGTTCTTTAAATCTAACTGCTGTAATTTACACGTGCAATTATTTATGTTGTACATCAACTTTATATGAATATTTTACATCCAATTACATCACGATTACTATGTCAGTTCGCGTGTGCGAATTCTGCACGGAGAAGTGCAGATTTCATGGGCCGATGCTTCCATTCGATCAATAGAAACCGCACAATGTGTCATGTATCCCGTTTGCGCGAAACCAACGCTTCTCCAATTCCACACGATGGATTCAATCGATTAATAAAAGCAGAGGTATCTTCCAATTGTTACTTGCGTAATATGAGCTTTTTAAATGAATTCGTTCGTGAATGTTGCAAGTACCCGCGCATTTACGTAGAACGTGCTTGCATACCTGGAAACGTGGAAATATTCATATAGACCGTCTCGCGGCTTCAACGTTCATCAAATATTCCGTCTCGGGCCGACCTCGGGGGGAAGGGAGGACGGGGGAAGAAGGGCGCATTTTCATGGTGATCAAATAAAACGATCTATTCTGCCATAATGGTTCCAACCCCGTCCGAGTTTTCGCACGGTGAGAAAGAACAGAAAAGAAAGAATAGATACCGTTCAAGAGGGAAAATTCTCTTGAACGATGGCACTTAACCATTTGCCTTTGCAACTTGCTCTTTGTCCGTAAGACCGGTCGGCAAAATACTGATGGAAGCACGATTTCCGATAATACCATTGTAAACGCTTCATCACGCTGTACGCCGAATGAGAGCCGAGTCAGATCAGCAAAGTGACTCTCTCATTGAGTTTCGTCCGCGGAAGAGATGCAACAACGAAAAATATTGTTATTACGAGCAACAGACACTTAAAAAAGACACTCGACAGAAAATATAAAAATTATATAATAACAAAGACGACGAGAGGAGACGGTTCGCTACGGTCAATATTTGAGGAATATAAAGATAACTCCCGAAAGGGGATCGAAATAACATTCTTTCCTATTCCTATATTTGCGTCATGGCTGCAAGCAAGCAAAATATCTAAAATAAATGAACGTTGTGCACAAAACAAAATATCGTTTTTTTTTATTAAAAACTAAAAAAGAAAGAAGAAGAAAAAACTTAAAGCAACTGTTTTTTTTTTCTCAAAATCAAATAGTATATATTTTCAATAATTCTAAATTGAATATTATCAAAAATTAAAATTTCTTATAGAAATTATCCGAGAATTTGAAATACATCAAGAAGTACATAAATCGATATTATGTTTTAAACTATAAACTCTTATTCTTAAGTTAATATATAAAAATTTAATCAAAGAAATTATTGGGAATAAAGAGAGGAAGTAAACAATTCCAAAACAATTTCTTATAACTTCAAAGATTAATGTGAACCTTGGATTATTTACAAAAGGATGCTATATATATATATGTGTATATATGTGTGTATATATATTACTACGGGACTACTCCCAGACGAAAGAGAAAAACACTTTTCCCAAAGAGAAATCGTGCGAAAGGTACGTATAATTTCGAAGTGATATTATATCTCTGACGGACTCATGTGCAAAAAGGTTCACGAGATAAAGGGCGTATGAATAATACAAAGGCAATTTCCGGGAGAGGAGATACACCACGATATCACACGTGCGTGTAAGCGCAGATAATCGCTCAGGGCAGAAATCGAATTTTCTGTGGGCACATAGGACAATTTAGTAACGTGAGTAATCAAAGGACCGAGGCAAATTAACGAGCAATTGTGCAACCTGATGCAAACGTAGGCTAATGTAAAGAGTTTTTAATTTATTAATTCATCTCGCACGCGTACACGTAGATTGCGTATATGAGATATAAATAGCACAGATATATTAATACGATAGACAAACATTCCCTCCAAGATATTATTAGAATTCCATTACGTTTGTTACAATCTCTTACAAACAACATTCCTCTCTTAAAATATTTGAATAATTAAATTTTCTGAAATGAAGATTGAAACTTATTCTCGGTGTCGGAGATTCAAAGAGCAAAGTAGTATTTAAATAAAATGTAAAATGTAGCAAAATAAATATATGTCGTTTAAACAATCGTTCTCCGACTTGAATTTGCATAGAACAAATGCGAGTAAAAGAATGTTCTTCAAGAATCGCTGCTTTCGCAGTTTTGCTCTGACAAATTCTCAGAAATGCACCGTGCCCAAAAGCCCACTTATGAAAGAGTAGTTCCTTGATTCGAATAAATAAGAATACATCTCACGAGCGAGGCAAAAGAGCTGCATGCGCCGTGGTGACATGTTGAAAATATTCCCTGTTCCCGCAAACTTCGCGCAGTTTCCTTTTTCTAGACCTTTTTCTAGATATAACATGCGTTACTTCATTTTTTTTTTCTCATGCTACAGCGCTGAAGAAGCGCATCGCGCAGTGCGAGGAAAATGATGAAAAAGTAATAAAGGTAAAACACGAGCAAAATAACGATAAGATCCGTAGAACGTAACAATTTGTTCTTACTGAAGAAAGAAATAATTCGTATTGTTGCATGCGAGCAAGAAAGCAAATTTTCGAGGTGCAACGCGCCGTGAATTCTCTCTGTACGAACAACAAAGCACGATCTACTTCAAAAGAAATCATTATTTGTTCGCATAGTGTTGGGACTGTGTTTCGGCTAACAATAAAATACTCAAACTCGAATATTCACACTTTAAGAAATTGATATTAAAAGTATAATATAAAAATTCAAAGTAAAAGTTTTTTAAATCTCTAAAAAGAGAAGGGTTCACAAAAAATAAAATCGCAGCCAAAAGCGTGGACAAAAAATTAATCGATATAAATAATAATTTATTAAACGGTAATATACGGTTTTGTGTAATTTAGTCTAATAAACGCAATCCAAATCTCTTGATAAAGCGTGAAACGCCATTAGCTATTTTACCACTAAATATACATATGCTTCGCGATGATTCTAGGAAATCAAATCTCTATTGATTGCAGTGAAAACGATGATATCGAATGAAACATTTCTATCTGCATTTCATCATGATTAATATCGTGCACTCTTTTAATCTTTTAAAATTGATTAAAACTGATGGGTAAATACATTTTGTACATAATATATAATAAATCTATATGTATAATATTTCATCAATTTTCAGTTTGCACCGTAAAGAAAAAAATCATCCACATGATGGATATCTGTGCTAATATAAGCCACTTTTATACAAGCTTTTCACCATCTCCCTCGCATACACGGATTTAATTAAAACTTTCCGCCGTAATTTTCGGGGCGAGCGCAGAGTTAAAGAACCGATTAATTTTTCTCTAACATGGCAAATATGCGTAAACGTCCGAGAATTGCGATCCAAAATTGGATACAATCTTCATTAATGTTTTCTTCTGAGATATTAAAGCGTCTTTTCCAACGAGTGTTGTAACGCGCGCGCGCGCGCGCGCGCGCAAAATTCACGCAAGAGTAAAATCGAGAAATAGCCCCGACAAAATTATGCGAGGAACACGCTTTTAATTTAAAAACTTATTTAAGATAAAATGCTGCTTTATGCAATGCTGTAGCGATAAGTTGCGTAAGTTGAGCGTGAGGCACGTCGACATCGCGTTTAAAGTGATATATAACCGGGATTTCTCGTGAAAAATACCATAAGAGACTTTAATCCCGCAAATAACGATGTAAATGACGTTTAAAATGATTTCTCGACGCGGATTCGCGGCGGGCAATCAATCCTCATATATATTCACATTAATATCGCAGAACTTACCGGCGCCGAAAGCCTGTTGTCCATTCTTGTCATCGGTCGGAGTACCCTCTAAACTCGCGGGGCCGCTGTCCGCTCCACCGGTTGCACTGTAAAAATATTTTCCCCATGCATTCCACATTCGTTTATCCGACGGGATCGAACGGGATGCTATACTCGCGAACGGTATAACGGTTGGGTCGTCGCATGTGAAATATTGGATTCCAAAGTTTTCAGTTTTATCGAACGCTTTCATAAAGTGAATGTTCTCCGAGATAATAAGTGTCGCGTTAAAGAGACATGACACTCTCTACAAAAATAATCGGAATAATATTAGATTTGAAACTACAAATTTATTGTTAATTAAAAAAAGTTAATTGTAAAAACAATTTTTCACACTAAGAAATATGAGATAAAGATGTGAATACAAATTTTTTGATTATATCTTATTTTTTCGAAAAATTATCTCGTTGATATAAAAGCGAATTTCATACTCAACGACCTAATCAGGGAGTAAATAATATATAAATAACACTCACCTGCTTGCATCGTCATCTTTGACTTGCTCACTGGGGGGAGCCTGACTTTCTTGAGGCTGGCTCTCTTCTGTCTCTGTTGACGGTGGGGCTTCACCCTCGGCAGCCCCGGCGCCACGGCTTAACCCTGGTATACCACCGCTCAACCAGCCGGACATTTGATTCTTTACTCCAGCGAACATCTCCAATTTATTGCCTTTGGGACTGTAAGAATCATGTACCTCGAATTTAGTCGTTGTGGTGAATTTTAAAATAAAAATTCCAAGAGAATTCTACGATTTTAAAATGTAGGTTTCTGCAGCATATTTAAAAAAGAAATGAATACCTTAAAGATCTGCAGATTGCAGATTAGAAATAACTGAATACGAAATAATTATTCATATAAATAATAATGTATGTCAAGATGATTAAGTCAAGGCAAAATAAAATTCTAGCATCGGCTCTTTGCAACGGTGAAAGATAATAGAAGATAAAGACAATAGAAATATAATGAATAAATGCAACTCAATTGCAATGCAATTTTCTGTTTGTTATAAAACACATACATACATACATACACACGCGCGCGCACACACACACACACACACACACACACACACACACACATACGATGAAAAGACGAGTATAAACGCCACGTTATACGATAAACCGCAACGTACAACCGATCGATTAATTAGATTAGTGCGGAGAAATCGGATTACACGAGAAAGCGTGGGCGGAATTACAAATGCGACCTTTTTAATCACTTCCTCAAATTCGAACGGCAAGAGGCAAGCAAAGTTCGCCTCATTTAAAAACTTCCTTACTCGGCCAAAATGTAATGTTCCCTCTGGAGAAACGTGTAAACTATAATTATTATAATTTATTTTACTGTGCCGTGGCAATAGCGAAGCAACTAATTAGCAGTCAAAGGATTCGTAAAGACAAAATTCCCATTGGCATTTATCATCATTGCGTTCGAGTTATTTCGAGAATTTCGGCGAATTAGATAAGGTCAATGAGAATTTCGAAATGTATTATATAAGAGTTCGCAAGGATCAATACAATCCAATTTGCATATACAATAGAAACGATAATTTCAACTTTTGATATTTGCACTCGAATATTTCTCAAAAAAGAAATATGCACTTTAAAAAGTTATGAATACAATTATATACGTAATTTTTTACACTGCACTTTTTCCTAAATGTGTTTTTCTTCAAAAAATTTCTCCAAGATAAATTAAAATACGACAAGATAATCAACTAATAAATAATGTAATAAAAAATAATAGAATTATTATAATAAAATATGAAATAGTTCATAAATTATTGATTCCTCGGTAACATTATACCCTTTTTTAAATAAAAAAAAACAACTAAAAAAATCATGTAAAGGAAATGCCTACTATATTTCCATTAAAAAAAAATATGCTGATAATATTCGTTTCATGTAAAATAGTTAAAATAAGTATGTATTAACGTATTCCATATTCATTTAGACGTATTCCAGTGGATATTTAATATTGATTAAATTTTCATCGGAAACGTGAATGATTTGTCACGTGTGACGAACGGTGTTGCTGGGCAAATTAAGGGCACGTACGACGAATTTCCATTCCGCGAATTCCGTGTGTCAGATGGACGTCGATCGAACGTGGAGCATCGCAACATCACGGAGGATTGATTTCGCGCAAGAGTGAAACGGGTCGCTGATATTTGACGCAGCCATTGCGCACGCATGATTTCACAAGGAATACGCAGAAGCCAGAAATGCGTACACGATACATGCGATATCATGCAAGTCGCAAAAGCGGCTTATAACAGAACACTCTATTAATATGTATTGTATAAAGACGCGTGCAATCATATTTTACGCAATATCGTGTTTCTCGGATTAATTGGGAAATGCACTCTGCAGCAATCCGTAAAATGGAAAACAGGAAGAGAGAGCATTTTTTTTTACAGAGTTTTATCAAGATTTTCATGTTGACAACAAAAATAATACGCTCGTGCGTGTGCATGTGGGCGTGTGCTAAAAGTAACCAATAAAAGTTTAAAACAAATATAATCCATTTTATAACAAAATTTAAAAAAAATTCCTACGTCCTATCTAGATTATAAATAAAATCAAATAAAACATCGCTATTAAAGAACGATGATATAAATGTAATTTGCGTTATAAACTATTTAATCATATTTAAAATGTACTATTTATATGATTTTATATAATAAATTTTATAAAAAAAGAGGGAGAGATACAAAAATATATGGATTACAATTTATGACGGTTTTAAATTAAATTTATCCTTAATAATTTAACATGTATATTACGAACACATTTGAATAAATTTTTACGTTTAATAATTATATGATAAATCGTATACACACATACATAAACGTGCGCACATGTTATCATATAAAGCTGATTATATATAAATATTTTTTTGACATTTTGAATCATAATTATATGTTCGCAGTTATAAAAATATAAGTCGTTAATCTAACGCTTCTAAATTAAATAACATGTTATAATTAGCAGTGTATTATCGTTGAGTTTCCGAAGATCATTGTGTTGTTATTTGTAATAATTTTTATCGAACGGATTAATAGCTTAATAGATATTTAAACAATGCACAATGAAAAATAAAACATCTAATCGTCACAATCGAAAATATAAAAATTGTTACAAAGAATTTGAGTTCTGCAAAACATAGATCAATTTGCGTTCTGTTTGCATATTCGCCAACAAATATTTACGATACTCGATAATAAATTGTCTGTGAGATTTCACAACAATCACTTAGAGATAAATGGAGTAATACCAGAACACTCAGTCTTTAATATATTAAAAATCCATATCCATATTTCAATAACCATATAACAATTATTTAAAATAATATAACAATAAGAATTAATAAAAATGTGATACTGAAAATTAAAGGCGAACAAAATGGCGATATTAAGTAAATTAAAAAAGTAAATTAAAAAATATTAAAAAAATATATATATAGAAAAAAAATACACAAATAAAACATATCTGTTGTACTCAAATAGATTAAGATAATAATTTTATAATTATAAAATTACATTCTATTAGTATTATTATACTCGTAAAATACATGAAAAGTGTAATGCTAGCCGAGTTCTGAAAATATAAGTCCTAATTTTAAAACAGTGGTAATTTCCACAAAAATGGGATTTGGCTCGATAAGAGAAAAGAACGAAGGAGAAAATATGTGATCATTATCCGAGCATTAAATCAGTTCTCTCGAGCTCCAGTTTCATAGATTATTCCTACTTAAAACGAGATAAATATAAAGATTCAAGCTGTTCGAAAAAAAGGACAACGGCGAAAATGTGATTGGAGGAGAAACAGGAGCGAGCGTGAGTCGCGAGATTTCGACGACCGCACAAATCCAGCGTCGCGATCATCGTTCCATGCGAGATATCGCAGTGTCGCACCAGTTTACGTAAGTCGGGCGTTATTGATCTAATCACGAAAACGCATCCTCCGAGACGAGGAGACATATCGCTGTTTTTTTTTTAAACGCCCGTTCACACGAAGAGGACGAAGGAAAAATAACGTCGCTGACGACGCCCGACGATCGAACAATCGTGCAAGTCGACTCGTTAAACTTGCGATTGTATCTCGAGGTTGCATACGCGCGAAAATGATCCCTCCCCCCTTCTCCCACCCACTCACCGTTCGTGTTATTCATGACAATTTGAAACGGTCAATTTCCAGGATCAAGATAGAATATCTCCAGTTGTGTAACATCGAATCCATTATTGAACCCATCGGGATCGTACGAGTTCCGAATTTTTTTTTCCTGACCTTTTGCTGAGGGAGGAAAGAAGAGACGGGGAAGAAGCGCGAAGAAAAATCTGCGTCCAGCGTAGAGCGGAACTACGGAGGGATTCGGATAAAATCAACGCGGTTGACATTTCGCGAGACGCAATTCGCGAGGCGTGCACGCATCGCAATGTCACGACGAACGATGGAATAGCGATGCGTAAACAAGAAAACGAAATCCGCGAAATACTCGCTGAATCATCAGAAGCTAGCAGACTTATTGCCTCCCTCCTCCCCCCTCCTCCCCGCCCCGCCAAACCATCCTCAGCGACCATCCTCTCGTCTCGTTTGCGACGTTGCAGGTTATGGCAGAACAAAATGACGTACCTGGTATTGTTCTTTTTCTCGAGATCCGCGCCGGGCTCGGTGTCCGGGGAGGTGGCTTTGGGTGGCACCTCGGATGTCACCTCGCTCCCGTTCTCGGGCTTCTTGCCCATCCAGGTGGACACCTGATTCGTCAGGCCGGAAAACATCTTGGGCGACGTGCGTCGGCGAACTCGGCTGGCGTCTGCTCCTCTCTCTGTATCTCAATCTATCTCACTCCCTCTTTCGATCGAACGATGACGTTTCTCGCTTGCTCGCCGGAATCGAACGCAACTGTCACCGAAGCCCTCGCGGGACCGGAGTGACGACGGATACAAGGATACCTCCTCGTCCGTCCTCGCGACAGCGCAGCCACGAACTGCGTAAGCCGCACGTGCGGGCGCGCAACTCGCACCGCGCATCTGACGCGCCGTCAGCGCCGCCCGGCCTTGCGCGGTCGGCCCGCGAACTACCGGCGACCATCGATTGCACGCGCCGCGCCGC